ATTATGCGGGATGCATAAAACCACGGGGACAGCTTTGCACAGGTAGGGCGTACGGTCCCCTAGCGCCAAGCACTATTGGGGCGTACGGTCCCCTTACATCAGCCTTATAGTATATATATAATGATGGCAAAGAATATATTGGGGGAAAAATTTCTGATTGCTTTTTTTTCCGGAGTGGTTATCCGTACAATTGTGCGAACAACTCTGTCTAGTTATCCGTACAGTTTTGTTCCTTACAATTGTGCTAACAACTCTGTCTAGTTATCCGTACAACGTTGTACGCACAATTGTACGAAGTGCTGAAGGTATCCGTACAATAGTAGGCCTGCATGCCCACATACCTACTACCTACATGTTCTGTCTTAGTAGATCTAAAAGTCTAGATCTAGACCTAGATGTCTAGAGATTCTAGATCTAGATCTAGATCAGTGTTTCCAATATTCCACAGGTGAAATTTTTAAATTTTTCGTCAGACCTCATCTGCCGATCTGATGCCAGCTGCCTCATTGATGGTGTTCCCCTCATGCCTCTTGTAAAAAAAAAAACTAAGTCTAGATCTAGAATCTAGATAGATAGAATTTAGAAATGTGTGTTGCGTTGAAATCGTGCTGTAAAAATATTTAAGCTTAATTTACCTCCTTCTGTTGATAGTTCTGATGGCCGAAATGACGTGTCTTTGTTTGAAGTGTTGTATTATGAGTGTGGGTTCGAATCCCGGTCCCGGAAGTTTTTTTTTGTTTTTTTCTTCTTCTTCTTCTCTCTCCTCCCCCGACTGACCAACAATTTTTCCCCCATAATTGTTTGTTTTGACTTCAAATATTTCCACACATGGTTTTGTGTAAAAACAAAGAAACATATAATAGATCTAGATCTAGATTCCAGTCATATTATAGATCTACTTATATTTTGATAGAAGTATAGATCTAGACTAGTCTACTTTTCCTTTTAGGCCTACCAATTTAGGCCTGGTTAAAGTTATTACGTTGATGCTCAACCCAGGGGAGAACCAACTGGATGACTAGATCTAGTGATCTAGGCTTATTTTTACCAACAACCTCCAAAATTCGAATAATTGTACGAACAGGGTTGGTGATTTTTTTTATAAAAATTTTAAAAAATCCGATTTTTTGGATTTAAATCAGATTTTTAAAATTTAAATCGGATTTTTAAAATTTTATATATTTTTTTCAAAATGTCGACACAGTTTGGGATTTTTGGTGGCTAAAAGTATGTTCTTTTAGTGCAAAATGCATTGTCTTTATTTTAACTAATGATTAATTTAAGCAACTGCAATTTTAGAAAGCCTTAATCTGCTATATCAGTGAATTATGGCTACAGACAAAAAATGAAGAAAATGTCAGTGTAAAAGGAAGGGGGGGGGGGGGGGGGAATTATGCATAGATAAACTTGCATTTTATTTTTATTTATTACAGTGTGTGTGTGAGCACGCGCTTGTGTTTGTCTAAAAAGAAAAAGAAAATGCTAATTTCAATTATGAAAAAAAAGTAAATTGAATACTGTATTATTTTACTACTTACAGTGGTGACAGGGGGGGAAAGCAGACTTTTAAGCAATTTTAGTCTACTAAACCTTATATCTGTTTTATAAAACCAAGGAAAGGAATTCTGAATGTTTAAAGATGTAAAAACAGAAAACATTGTTTAAAAGTGATTTAAATCACTGAGTTCTATTTTTAAAATCAAGTTGATTTAAAATTTAAAAAATCAACTGATTTTAAATCGACCCGATTTAAATCAACCCAACCCTGGTTTTCAATTATGAAAAGTAAATTGAGAACTGTATTATTTTACAGTGACAGGGGGAAAGCAGACTTTTAAGCATGATTATATTAAATTAGTCTACTAAACCTTATATTCGTTTAAAATATAACCAAGGAAAGGAATTCTGAAAGTTTAAATATGTAAAAACTGAATACATTTTTTTGAAAAGTGATTTAAATCACTGATTTAAAAAAAAATCAAATTGATTAAAATTTTTAAAAAATCAACTGATTTAAATCAACCCAGCTCTGATTTCATTTTATGGGAAAAAAAGTAAATTGAATACTGTATTATTTTACAGTGAAAGGGTGGAAAGCAGACTTTAAAGCATGATTATATTAGTCTACTAAACCTTATATCTGTTATATGAAACCAAGGAAAGGAATTCTGAATGTTGAAATGTGTAAAAACTGAATAAAAATAATAACTTAAAAAAAGTGATTTAAATCACTGATTTTTATTTAAAAAATCAAGTTGATTTAAATAAAAAAAATCGACTGATTTAAATCAACCCAGCCCTGTGTACGAATAACTCTGTCTGGTTATTAGTACAATTGTACTAATAACTAGTTAAGAGTTGTACGCACTATTGTACCAATAACCGCAGCCTTTTTTTTCGAAGTGGCGATTTCTCCTAACTTTCGGGAAAATAAAGTTGAACAGTACTCTATTTCTCCGAACGGTTTTCGATCTCGAGATTTTTTTGTTTTGCGAGATTTAGGCGTCGTCCTTTCATTGTGCCATTGTGCGAGAACTGGGAAGAAGCATTTTTTGCATCGAATTCAATTTCTTGAGCTAGAGATTTTTAGATGTCTGAATATTCAGATACTTCATTTGTGGTTGGGGCAACATTCCCAGACTATACTTCATTTGAAAATACCTTCAAAAGGTACTGCAAGAAAACAAGACTGCTCGACCTTGGCAGTAACCTATTTTGCATTTAGTCACCCAGCTAAAACTACTATCCTTCATGTAAAACCCCCCCACCCACCCCGTTCACACCTTACACATGCACGCACACACACATATGCACATCCACACAAACAACACACACACACACGGGCCACTCCATTCGCTTATCAACAAATCTCGAGAACGGAAACCGCTCAGAGAAATAGAGTTGAAGTTTATTTACCCGAACATTCGGAGGAATAGAGCGGGTGTGTGACATATTTTTGTTTTTGAGTTAACCATTCGCGTTTTAGTTTGGTATGTTTTGAAGCGAAAAGGTTAGAGATGTATCGCATCCTGTAAAATTTCAGGATTGTTGGTGACAGCAAGTTTAGCAAGATCAGTTTTTCAGAGATACTGTGTTGCAAAGGCAATAATCAATAGTTTCTTTGTTTTTTCACCCTTTTCAGAAAATTGAAGCCCCAATGCTATCGGGAGAACTTCTCTTCTGTGGTGCATCAAATTGGGATTTGGTAGGGAGGAAAGCTCTCCCTAAAGGAAGTAAGTTGAAAATTGTTATTTTACTGTTTTAGAGTTTTTTGTGCTCAAATTGTACTTCATATGAAGTATGTGTCAAATGTTATTTTAATGAATTGTCTTTGTCATAATGTGAAGACAAACTGGCTACTGTTTTCCAATAACAGTTATATTGATGTTATTCTTGGGCCTCCTTTTTCTAATAAAACAGTTGTGGATCTATTGGCCCGCTTAGGTGGTTAATTGGACTGGATTTCTTTAACCTGGCATAGTGGGACTGTGACAAATTGAAGATTTTTGTTGTTCATTTCCTTGTTCTACAAATAGCCAGATTCTCTTTACAACTATATATTTAGAGAATTTTGGTATATATATATATACAGTAGTCTCCGCCTAAGATCCCGGTGCTCGGGAGCAAGGAAAAGCGGGATCTTAGGCGAACCGGGATCTTAACCGACGAACCCAGGGAAGAATCTATGGTGACCCATGTTAAGGCTTACAATCGGTAAAATGGTCTCCAACAATCTCTAAAATGAACTGACGTGACCGCTTTGTGGGTTTATGACGTATGGCGAGGAAAGAGTGGTTAACCTTGATGACCTATCACAGGGCATAGTGGGATGAGGCGTGCCATTTTCACTTATTATCCTATCATGAGGCTCAAGATCTACGCTTATCAAGTTGCCCCTCCCCTCCCCCTTACCTGTCGAAAATTTATAGCTTTCCATCTCCCCCAACCGCCTTTGTCGTTACACACCATTACGTTGTGAACACACCAATTAAAATTCAGTCTGTCTTGCAAATTCGGGAGTAGAAACAACTTCTCCAATGGTCAGGGAAGAGTTCACAGTTCAATGTGATCCCGCCAGGAGCGAACGTGTAGGCCCTACCCACCCAATGAGTGATGTAAGTTTATGGGGATAGCTCAGGTGTGAGTGAGATGTTCGGGGAAAACAAACGTGTCGGTCAGTTCACACCCCGGTGTGATCCTGTCTGGGGCAAACATTGTATCGTGTATGTGATCACATTCACGATAGCAGCTGATCTTTGATGCGACGGACAGTTTATTGATCTCAAATTTTCACTCTTGGTTGATCGGCTGTCCCGCCCGTTTTTTCCCCCGCAAATTATGATCTGAAATGCGGGATCTTAGCCGAATGTAGACCTTCAGAGTGAATCAGAGCGGGATCTTAGAGGTGACTTTTGTGTAGTATAAATTCTGTTTTCTTAAATCAGCGGGATCGTAAGCGGTGGGATCTTAGGCGGAGACTACTGTATATATATATATAATCATCTTATATTGTTCTTTCAGTGAAAAATTTGGGTGGACCTAATTTATGGGGACCCAACAGAATTTCAGCTTTGAAAGGCATCAGGATACGAACTGTGGTATCAGGATGCTGTGCAGCCCATTGTGTCGCCATCACTAGCGAAGGAACTCTCTACTCATGGGGTGAGTGGATCTTTTGCTGTTTTTTAGACATTATTTTTAACTAGATTTTCAAACTTTATTATGATAAATAGTTATAGGACGACCTTATAAAGAGTATTTTAAATCTCTTATATTATATCAGAATGAAATGGAATAACTCCCCCCCCTTAGTTTCAAGATGTGACCCTTAATGTCTCCTAAGAAGGGAAAATCAGGTCACAATCTTTTGACTCTGCTGCAACCAGAATATATACAAAATTGGAGACACACCTCTATTTCAATGTGGCGAGGGTCTAGAGAAAAGCAACCATATTCTGCAGCACTGTACTTGCTTCGTAACTCTAAAAGCAAAGACATGGCAATATGCTATACCGCTTGAGAGAAAACTGTATGACAGCCTCGAGGGCTTAAAGTGGACTGCAGTTAGTTTGTGCACATGACGGGATTGACTGACTGACATCGAGAACGTAGAGGAAGCAAAAGTTTTGTTGTGAAGTGTTTTCAACTGTAAAGTATAGAGGTTCCCTTCTGTTTTGTGGAATGGAGGTTTTAATTTCAAAGAATGTTGTTGCTGTGACTTTGCTTTTATGCACTGGTTTTCAAGGCATCATTGGCGTAACGTTAATGTAATTCTTAATAATTATGTTGAGTAGAAGAAAAGACAGCTTTATTTTTCCTTATGAAATATTGAAAGCTGGCTTGTGCTTGGTATGAGTATTTGAATTTTGTTCCACCAGGTCGTAATGAAAAAGGTCAGTTGGGCTTGGGCCATACAGACAGACAAGATGTGCCGCAAGTTGTAGACACCTTGGATGATGAAAATATTGTTGATGCTGCATGTGGCCGCAGACACACCTTGTTCCTCACAGGTGAGTACTGGTTAGCTCTTGGCAGTAGTTCCAGGCACTTATTTCTTTTGCCCTCGTGAAAGATCCCTCTGCGCACATTTAGTACATTAGAGAATTTACTATTTAATTTATGTCTGGACACAGTTGGTTGTTTAAAAGTTTGTTTCTGTTGCCTTTGGATTTGAATGAATTTGCAGTGTAAATCTTCTGCTGTTTATGAGTTTTTTCAACAAAATGTCATTGCTGAGTCAACACTTATGTAGTTCATAGAATGTTTTTTCTGTTTTTTTAAAATCCCCTTTGCTTGCTATCCTCTTGGCCTGTCATAATACACAAAACAATGGAGTCTGCCAAAAGTGATCACGGTTTAACAACAAAGAGGACACCAAAAGAAACAAAAGAAAATCACCTATTTTTCCTTCTCTATTTGAGCAATCTCTCTAAAGGGAAAACACAGCTAAACTGGGGTGAATCTGTGGTTCCCAGGTTTCAATTTAAGTGGGTTCCACTGCACTTTTCAATTTTAAAAAATATGAATAATAAAGTTAGCTCAGGGAAGGGAATATTTGAACTGACTTAAACTTTAAAATGACTGATTCCATATGTGTAGAGAAAAAAAGTAGAAAGAATCCTCATGTGCTCTATGTTACTGTGGTGGGAGGCTTTCAGCATGGTTTGATTTATGGACCTATGTCTAGGGGTGTCATTTCTTTGGTTCATTATGAAGAATTTGAATTTTATACATAAATTTTGCTCTTTGAATGCGATTGCTATCATATAATCATAGCTGCCACTTTCCCGCTAAATAGCGGAAACTCCGCTTCATCTAGCTTTTCCCACTACTTTCCCCCTTCCTCTGCTGGACCGCTCTCGGTCGCAAATTGCGATACTTTTTTTTTTAACACGCGGAAAACACCGAACCGGGAGAGGGACGAAAATGCGGCTTGCGCATGTCCGCCCGTACTTTCTACTTCCGTTCTTCTAGGCCCTGCGCTAGTTTCACTTTGTTTATTGTTGTGGAGCAACATAGTGTCGATCGGGCATCGGGACGTTGGCGCGCAGAGTCGTCATTGAAAACGGTGGAAATTTGAGAGAAATTGATGCAGAATGCAAAAATAAAAGGAGCTGGAATGAGAAAGAAAGAAGCAGCCGGTGTGCGACTTGAAAAGTTAATTAGAAAATTGAACTAGCCGTTTGGTGCGCTGAAGAAATCGCGACCAGCAGCACTCCTGTACAATTGCGGTCCTGTTTGTTGGAAATTGTCTTTGAATTTCAGTGAGAAAGAATTATTGTATTTTTTTTTTCAGATCAAGGCAAAGTTTTTGCTTGTGGAGAGAACAAGATGGGCCAACTGGGTTTAGGAAATCAAAGTGAACAAGTTTTAGTTCCAACACTGGTAAGTCTAAGAGGACTGCCTATTCACTGTCTGACTCTTGATAACCCGTTAGACAGTTTTGATGCTCTGTATTATACAGATGAGTTTGCTGGGGGTCAGACTTGTTTCCTGTTACCTTGGTTGTCATAATTTAGCCTAGTGTTAGGTTTCACAGTGTTTTTTACCTGTTAACATGTGAATGGGGTTTTGAAGATACAAATCAAAACACAAATAATTTGCTGTTCTTACCTGGAAAGTTTTCCTGCGACCTCATCTATATTTTTATTCAATTTTTGTTCTTTATGTTACTCTTCTTTGTTGCTGAACCCCCCCCACCACCACCATTTTGTTTTTTTCATTTTGTTGTTGGTTTTTTTTTTTCCAGATCAATTACAAAGGCCCCCCAATTCGGCGGATAGCATGTGGTGGTGACTTCAGTGTCATTTCAGATATAAATGGAAATGTATACAGCTTTGGCTGTCCAGAGTACGGGCAACTGGGTATGCTATTTTTCTTTATGTATTTTTCGGTGGAGGGAACGCTTGTTGAACCTACTGTGTTTGTGATTGTGTACTGTTGGAGTTGTCTATGTTTTTTTTATGTTACTGAATTTTTGTTAAACTTTAGCACAAGATCTTGATTAGAGCCTGTTGTTGTGCTTGCTTTCCAAACAGACTTAATGGGTGGTTGGCTGGTGCTCTGATGTGTCTTCTTTCCTATTATTGTATGTTACTCTATTGTAATACTTCGGTTCTTATTTGACCGTATTGTGGTGCAAGTGCCGTAAAACTCATAGTAAAACTAAACTAAATTTATGGTCGTACTTGGTTTCTCAGAAACCAGGTAAACTCGGGTTAATTTCTTTTTTCAAAATTTTAAAGATTTAATTAACCCTTTGTCTCAATGCTACTGCTTTTTCTTTCCTCATCTTTACTATTGTCATTTTCCTCTACTTCTTTTATGGTTGCCACTCTCTTGTGAAGCGCTATTTCCCGGGTACCTTGATAGCAGTAAGCTGGGCCTGTTTTGCCGAGTGGTCGTTGTCACCGGCCAATAACAGATGGAAAGTGACATGCACATTGAGAATTTAATAAAGACTGAAATTTCTTAGTAATTTTTTTTTTCTGTAGGTGCTTTTCAAATCTGGCATGTTTCTTGTGCCGTATGTTTGTGGTTCAGTTTGTAGTATGCTTTGAATTATCATTTGATTGACATTTTGACCCACGCAGTCTACTTTATTAATTTAAACTGATTCTTACCCCCTGGGGCGGTGCTACTGACTGAAGTGTCTCTAGGCCCCTCCCAAAGGGGAGACATTAACATGTTCTTATGCACAGTAGAATTGTAAATGGGCTGATTCATCTATGTCATGCTCATACTGTGCCGGAACAACATAGGGGGAACTGGTGCTTTTTCTTTTATTATCCTTACTATCATTATTTTCCTCTACTTCTTTTGTATGTTTGTCACACTCTTGTGACCCGCTATTTCCAGGGTGCCTTGATAGTCGAAGCAGATTTCGTGCTGTTGAATGTTGAAGCTAGAAAGGTGAGCAGAGTAAGCCTCATTCCTTGTTTGCACTTCTCTGTTGACATCGGCTCCTTGGCGCTCATATGACCTTATGCAGTTGCGAGCGCCGTAAAAACTCTACTAAAAGTACTAAAACTAAAAACTGAAACTGATTCTATATTCATTTTCCTCCCAATTGAAGTACAAAACACCCACACCTTTATTTGGTAAGAAATTATAGCCAAGTGTAAGTGACCCTCTACTCCCTTTTGATCAAAATTAAATGCCATTCAGGAAAAAAAATTCTTGAGACAGGATTAATGAGATCCATATGTTTATAACAGATTTTGGATCTTTCATGGGTTTCACTCTTTATGTCCTTCTTTCCTCAAACATCTATTGTCCTTATATCTCTCTCTTCCTTCTTTTTTGTGTTTGTTACTCTCGTATAATTCCTCAATGTTTGTCACTTATTGTGTTTCAAGTGGCGTAGAACTCTTACTAAAACGAAGAATTAGAACCAGATTAATGGGATGTACATGTAACGACTTATTGGCAATCAGGAACTGCACATTTTGCCAACTTCCAGTTTTCATGATATGGCACAAAGCTAAAACTTATGCTTTTTTGTTGTGTACCTTGTTCATTATATCATAAAGTAAGGAAGGGGCTAATGTGGTCCTTTTTAAATCCCGAGTTGCGTATTTCTTATATTATTGTTCGGATTATTGCCATAATCAGATCAAAATTAGGACGCGTCTGTTGATTGCTAAGACAGTGTTTTATCACATGGTGTGGTACGTGTAAGGCATATGAGCAGCCACAAAGGGGTTAAAACTTTCATGATTATATTTCAGTGTTCTTATTTAGTAGATGATGAAAATGTTATGTTTTATTGACTGAAGTATTAATTCTGTGTTCATTTCTCTTTTTTGTGTCGTTAGGTCACAACTCTGATGGGAAATACTTTGTGAAGAGCAACAAGCTGGAGTTTCAGTGTGAGAACTCCCCACGTGTGGTCACTGTGTTTGTGGAGAAGCAAAGAGATGGCCAAGTGGCTCCTGTGACCGACGTGGATGTCAGGGAAATTGCCTGTGGTGCCAATCACGTTGTGAGTAGATCCCCTCCATTACAATGTGAAGACTACGTGGGGAGAAAAAACGGGAGTTAATTGATGCATTTGAGATTCTTTCATTTTTAAGTTTGGAGCATTGTGTCATATTAAGTATAGAGTATAAATTTTCTCCAATTCATTTTTTACTTGGCGTCAGTAGTCTATTTGTTAGGCTACCACAGACTTGTACTCGTGAGGTTGCTGGCTCGAGAATTCGAGCCTCAGGCCCAAGGTTGTGTCCTTGGGAAGAGCACTTTACTTTATACAAATTTTCCTCATTTCACCCTGGTGGGAATGGCCATAGACAGTGAAAGATTTTGCCAGCATGTTTGTGCTTCTGTATGCTAGTATGGAACGAGGTATACTCTGCTGTGCATGCTCATATAATTTACAAAACAAAAATTGTTGATGGAAGCAGGCTGCTCCTTTTGTTTCAGCAGAGTCAACATATATTTTTATAATAATAATAATAATAGATAGCATTTGTATAGCGCAATTCGTCACTCCCAGCAAGCTCTATGCATTTCACCATCTATACTATTACTCCAGCAGACCTGAGAGCATTCTGAAACGACCTCAACTTCCTGGGAAGCATACAGTGTAAGCAGCCATTTATAGGCGCTAAAACACTAACATACTGACAAGATCTTCCGCTGTCTATGGCCGGGTACCCATTCCCAGCTGGGTGAAGTGAGGAAAATTTGTATAAAGTGCCTTTCCCAAGAACATGTCGGGCCTGCGGCTCGTACCCCTGAACCCACAGCCTCACGATTACGAGACTAGTAGCCTAATCATTAGGTTTAATAGGATGTTCAGTTAGTAGTGAGTACTTTTTTTACAGTGGGTTTTGGGTTTTTTGTTGTTTGTTTTTGTTTTTTTAAAATTTGTTAAAGTTAGAAACTTTTAATGAATTACAGATTTTTTAAATTGTGTGAATCAATGAGGATTCTGTACATTTTATAGGCTAAGGCGTACAAGTTTTTATTAAAATTTCAGCTGGTGACAGACAGCAAAAAACGTGTCTTCTCCTGGGGCTTTGGAGGCTACGGCAGACTGGGCCATGCTGACCCGAAGGATGAGCTGGTGCCTCGGCTCATCAAGTTCTTTGATGGTCCAAACAGAGGGGCCGTATCCATTGCTGCTGGTTCAACATATTCTCTTGCTGTTAGTGAGCATGGTGTGTATCTGAATTTGAGAAAAATTTTTAATCTTAACACTTCTCGATGGAAATGAATATGTTTATAAAAACCTCAGAGACTTTTTAAACAGTAAGGTGGGGTAGTAGTGGTACTGCATGAGGCTGTTAATACAATTTTGTACTGGTTTTTTTTTTTTTTCCCCCCCCACTGCTTTACAGTTGCTTTTTTCTTTGTAGAAATGTGTTGTCTTTGCACATGTTGGTGAGAGTTATCAGACCTGCAGCTCATCCCGATTAATTTGGGTATCCCGATTTTCCAGATTTCATTCGTGTTGATCCTGATTTTTTTTTTTTTAATTGTTTAGTCGGGTTCTCAGAGAGAGAAAAATTCAGCTTTTGCTGAAAAGCATCAATTGGACTTTTTATCAACAGGAACTTAGAACGCTATTTTCTAAAACACCAATGCTGTATCTAGTAGTTGACGCATACACGATTTTTTTCCAACTAAAATTGAAGTAATATTGAATTGGAATTCTGATTTTGATTCTATCAAGATCTGCTTTCGCTTTTATTACCTAGAATTTTCGGGTTTATGGCCCTTTTGGTCTTCAAATAATCAATATTATTTGTTGTTCTGCCGCTGCTTTAACTCTTTCCGGACGTAGTTTTTTTTGGGTCCAGACATAATTAATCTGTGGCTTGCTTTGTCTATGCAGGTGGTGTACAAAATAACTTATAAAAGCATAACCATCGCTCCAAATGTAACGTATGATATATCAAATTGAAGGAAATTGAATGAGGAATACATCCCAATATAAAACAAGGATTAATTTTTTAATATAAGTATGCATTAGAAGGGTTAGAAATGGCGATGGTGACGGAAAAAATTACATTCACCTGACATGTGAAAGCAAATCAGCATAGCTATCTTATCATATACAGGCCATAAATGTCTGAAAATGCAGCTTGTTATTTGAAAGGAATAATCCAATTTTTGTTTGAGTTATGATATTTATACTGGGTCTGGTTACATCGTTTTGTTGATGCAAAACCGCAAGAACCAATTCACGTGTTTTTCCTCAAACCCACGCTTTGACAAAGTGAAACTAGATGATTTCGTATCCTTCGAACTATGGATCCCTCGTACTACCGAGGCCGGTCCCGAAGAATTCAAGCTATCCTTGAAATACTGTATTTTGGTGATCATTCTATACAAAGCATGCTCTAGCTTCATACTTTTGTTGATTTTTAAAAAATTCCAAGTTAAATGCTTGTGTCAATTTTGTTATTTGTCTTTGATGCCTGAGTATATCTTTCTTTAGGAGCCCTTTACTTCTGGGGTTTGACCAAAATGTCGGGAGAGGCAACGATGTACCCGAAACTAGTACAAGATCTGAGTGGCTGGAAGATCAGGAGTATTGGCACAAGGTGAGGGCCTGTTTTAGAGAAAAGGCTTATTATAGCATGGTGGGACTCGTTTCAACAATACAAGTAAATGACAATCTGTGTATTTTTAAGTTAGTTGAGAACAAAAGATAAGATCAGATACTTCTTTATTGTCCAGATCCTGGCACATTGCTTTGGTGTTTCACCATGTACTCACAAACGCACACACACACGTTCACACTCTCACAGACTTGCAATCACATGCATAATATGAACAGTTATATAAACAATAATAATGTTCAGTTTGATACATACTCAGTATTCTGATTGTATTTCAATGTTATTCTGATGCACGCTTTAAGGTCATAGGAATACTTGTAACAAGATGGTTAAGATGGAAGAACTTTGATGGGTGATGGTAAAAATGATCTTCTGTATCTTTCTTTGTTACAGGTCAGAAGCCTAGGTCTTTTACTTCTGACTGATATTTTTATTTGATGGAACAAGGGATGTTTATTGTCCAAAAACATGGAATTTTTTTTTTTTTTAGTGCAAGCTGTTATGTACAATTCATCCAAATAGGGGATGTAGATGTTGAAATTTTGCAAGATTTCAGTATTAATTTAATTTTTGTTAATCTCATTGTTTTGTGTTCCCAGCCCATTCTGTTATAGAGAAATTGATCATAGCTTTGATGGTTAAATGACATAATATGGACATCAATGTGTTATCAACTTTAAACTACATAAGCTTCCTTAGAATAAAAGTCTTTTGTTGTTCACTTTTTTTGTGCAGGAGAGAATATTGTAACACCCAAATACTTAAAATCTGACACTTTCTTGACATTTTCACTTTTAGTTACAAGTGGCTGCAGGGGTAGTTTCTTTTTCTAGAGTCAACCATGAGTTGTTTTGTTTTTTTCACATTTAAAAGCAGCTTATGATTCCCACACCATTCAGAAAAGTTTAGTACAAAATTCCAGTAAGCAGTTTCGTTATGGTTAGCCTGAATGAGCCCAATTATGGTTGAATTATCCGCAAATTTGATGAACTTGATGTTACTGTTGTTTATTTGGCAATCGTTTGTGTATAGTGTGAATGAAACTGTTGGCAAAACACATCTTTGAGGGGCCTCTGTATTTGTTGTGATGTGTGTCGATGAGGAATGTTTTCATTATAAAGAGGTTAAAGATCAATAATTCTAGTTTTGCTGTGCAAGGTCTGATGTAGTTTTTGGGACCTATAGGTAAGAATGATGTGCTTCTGTTATGTTTATCTAGCTGAAACAATGTTGGCTTTGAAATATTGTATTACAACTTTATTTTTATTTTTTTTGTCAGATCCATGGAGAAAGATTATTTCCTTTGCACTATGAATTGGTCACCTATGCTGTCGTTAACAATCATTATTCTTTTTTCTCATTCCTCTAGTAACAAAAGCATTGTTGTTGCTGCTGATGAGAGTGTTGTCAGCTGGGGTCCATCACCATGTTTTGGAGAGTTGGTAAGTAGGAACTTCTGTTCTTTGTCTCCATCGTGTTTACCAAGCCTCAATGTTTGTTGAAATGGTTTTTTCCTCCACATATATTAGTACAGTAGCAACAACTAAATCTACAGTACTTTTACATTGAGGGTTTGTTTCTCTCTCCTCTCTTTTTCTTCCCAAGTGATGGAAACTTGTGATATAATACAAGTGCAATTATTTTTAATAAGCTTGTACTAGTCTTGATGGTATACATATTGTAAGAAATGTTCACCATGTCCAGAAGTCAGGTACATTCTAGTAAATGTCATCCTTTGTTTTGTAGCCCTTTCTATGTTATTCACAGTTTTTGTATGTGAGTAGCATTTCTTCAGATGTGCCACAAACAGCTTGATGAGAAATAGATTAAACAAAGCATGTTCTTATGCTTTTTGTGCAGGAGGGGGGGGGTCGTCCTCCGAGAACCCCAACTCATATCAGGGTCCACAGGGGGGTCGCTCTGGGTGGCTGCTGTGGCTGGGTTAGCTTAAAGTTTGGTACCTTTCACATACCTGCCAACCCTACAGAAAAAATCGGTAGATCACCGACTTTTTGGTCAAACTACTGATCCACCGATTATGAGAGATAAGCCACCGACTTAGCAGGGTGACTGCCAGGCCCCGTGAATTACCCAGGAATTTGAGAAAGTTATCGAATATTTGAAAACCAAATCCGATAACGCCCTTAAGTTAATTTTTGCCGGTCGCGATTGTGATATTCATTCACCTTCCCCGAGAGTATATTTCTTCTCGCAGACAGGCGGATCTGGCGGCAAGCGGAAGTGTATGTGTGATACCGACGTTTGATCGGGATAATCAAGATATACTTTCACTTTCGTTACCACCCAGAAATTTGCTGGTAGTTGTTTGATAGCGCAACATTAATTGTAACAACATGCAGGCTGTGCATGGCAAATGCTGTGTCGCCCTGAAAATAAATCAATATTTGTCCTGTGCTGTCACTTGTGAAAAGAAAAGAAAAGAAAATTATAGTTATACAACCGTCTTGTCGGGCTCGCCATTGTGACCGGTCAATGAACCTACGCGTTCCATCACATTGTGAGCACTGGCAATTGTAGGGGTCACCAAAGTTCATTCAAAGTCTGAGCGCTGCGAGGTATAGGACTCCGGAATGGGGGGATTATTGATTTTTTAAAAGATACACGGGGGGGGGGGGGGGGGGGGTAAACTCCACGATGTAATGGGCGAAGGGGGAGGGGAGGAACCACCTCAGTGCCGGGGGGGGGTGTGTGTGGAGGGCACCCCCGGGGGGGGGGGGGGGACTTGGAAGCAAATTTTAGTATTCTAAATTTTGATTACTACTAGACTCTAGTACCAGAACTCTCTGCAAAATGCGTGTTGGTGCAGGCCTTGTGAGGACTCGGGATCTGTCCTACTCTTTCCTTGTAAACTCTGCAACGGCAAAGGGCCAAGGCTAGGCCTAAGTCATTCAAGGCCCACCTTTTCTTCATCTTTTCTTTTTTGCTTCTGTTTTTTTTGTGTGTGTGTTTTTTTTTGGTTTCATTTGTGTGTGCATGCACGTATGAATAGGACAGGACGGCACCAGCTACTATAGGGTAAATGCCTCTAGTAGTTTTCATATTTGTCACATTTTATTGTTCTTTGTCATTTTCTACATTTGTTTGAAGTCGCAAACACATTCATTCATATTTTGATGTGGGTCAAAATTTGATATGGGTCCCAAATTAAGTATGCGACAAGTGGCAATATAGCTTGCTACAGATTTTTTAGGTCAACTACAGATTTTTGGACAAAAATTTGTGTCAACTACAGATTTTGGCCCTGGCAATGTTGGCTGGTATGCTTTCAATCTAAAGTTTTAGGTGTGTCCTTGTACTCATGGTAATCAATTAATGCTCCCATGATATGAAATTCTGCATTTGAGACTCAAAAAAGAATAGACTCTGTAACTTGTCATGCTATTTTGCTAGTTAGATGCCCTTGAGCTCAACTGCTAAACTGTGATATGGGGCTTGTCAATTTTTGGGCATGTGGAATTATTAGTATCATCCTAACACTTTTCTATCATGCGCTGATTAAAAGTTCATGTATTCGTCAACCGGCGCATGCGCCGACGGCACAATGTAAAAGGAAAAAAAAATTATCGCATTAAAAAATCCAATTGACAGATCGGGAAAAAACCTTTTCAGACCCGCCAATTGAAGGAAAAGTGTTAAAGCTTGTTCATTCGTCTTTCTTTTTGCAAAATAAAAAATACTCATCTATCATGAATAAAAGTTGAAATATTTGTAATTGAAAGAAGTGGGGGTTGCCTGGTTTCAGACGTTAATGTCTTCCAAAGTTTCGCTACCTCCAAAGCTGAAGCCTGAAGCGTCCTTTGAAACTGCAAATTTACCTTCTTTTTTCTTCTTCAAATCGCGCCCCCCCCCCCCAAAGTAAAATCTACACAGAAATGTGTTTTGTAATGGGTCTTATAGGTGTTCAGTCAAAAAACAAAGATTCGATGAAAATTGCCAATAGGACAGAAAAATGCGTTTCTTTATTTTCATTAATTTGACAAGCGCGTGATTTGTCCATGATGCCTCACTAATTATGATTTGTTTGGACTGGTATGGTTATGAAATATGAATACCACAACATAGATTAAGGTATTAAAAAAAGGGCGAAAAATGCAAACTTCTCAACCGACACTGCTGAAGTCACCTCCTTGCCAATATCTTGGGGAGCTTGGGTTTGCTGATGAGTCACGCCTATTGAAAGGCTCAAAATACAACGAAATGTGATGCTGTGTAAAGTCATGGGTCTCAATAGTCCGCTATTTAGCGGATTTCCGCTACCGTGACAGCGGGCCAATCAGAAAGAGGGATCAGGGTGACTGCCAGGCCCCGGGAATTTAAAAAAAAAGCCAAGACCCGGGCATAAAAGATATCGAATATTTGAAAACCAAATCCAATAACGTCTTTAAGTTCATTTCTGCCGGTCGCGATTGTGATATTGATTCGCCTCTGAGAGTATGTTTCACGCGAACTGGCGGCAAGCGGGAATTGTGTCACCACGGCTCGACTGGAAAATCAAGATCTACTTTCGCTTTCGTTACCACCCAGAATTTGTCAGTAATTGTCTGATAACGCAACATTTATGCAGGATCGGCATTACAAACGTGGTATTGCCTTGAAGATAAATCAACATTTGTCACTGTGCTGTCACTTGTGGGGGCAACAACAAAAAAAAAAAAAGAAAAGAAAGTTATACAAGCGTCTTGTCGGGCTTGCCATTGTGACCGGTCAATGAACCTGTGCGCGTTCTGAGCACTGCGAAGTACAGGACTCAGGAATGGGGGGGGGGGGGGGAGATTATTGATTTTTTAAAAGATGCACTCGGGGATAGGGGGAGGGCTGGACGCAACACCAGAGGACAAAAAAACTGGAACTGGAAGAAAATGTTTAATGTGTAGAATTTTGATTACAACTACAGCTCTGCTCTCTGCAAAGTAAAGTGTGCGTTGGTGCAGGCCTTGTGTGAAATCGGGAACCGTCATAACTTGTAAGCGTGTTATCGAACTTAGGGGCGTAAGTGTTCGCGTTTCATTGGATTTGTGACAGTAAATTAGATCTCTATATTTTGGCTTTCTGTTCAAGATTTGCAGATTTTTAGTATCACTGCATCTTGCTCTCCCACAGTTCTTACACCTCTCACACTGAATAGGTCTACTTGGGCTATTCTACTCTACTTTGAGTTTGAGCATTAATTTTTATCTTTCATGTTTATTATATAGGCCTATATATATGATATGAATCATGACAGTCAATATTGTGGTTCTAGGCTCAAAACAAGATTCATTTTTATATAGTTTATATAGGCCTATAGGCGAATATGATGAAGGGAAAATATAATATAAATTAGTCGCACAAGACCCCAGGCACCACCACTTTCTCAGCTGTACGTAGTCAAGATTGTAAATATTTGGTAAGTGACTCTTACTTGAAATTATCTCCCAAACCCTCAAATTGGTGTGAAATAACCTTGCTTTAACAAATTGATGGTTTTTATTTCAGCATTCTAGGGTTCAACAGTATAATAATAATGGGTGTTTCGCGAATTTGGGCTTCTGTGGCGATCAACCGGAAAGTTCCTCCTTTTTTTCAGAATTCTGAGTTGAGACCCATGAAAGTGCAAATGTCATAGGTACCAACCTTATTTCTGGTTTTTACAATTTCAGGGCTATGGTGAAGGCGGAATCAAATCATCCACAGTTCCAAAAGAAGTGAAACCCTTGGAAGATGTCTACGTCCATCATGTCTCTTGTGGCTTTTCTCACACACTTTTGATTGCACGCGTTGACACGGATGAGGAAAAGCAAGCCATTGAGAAGTTGCCAGTGTACACGCCTTGATCCCATTTGCCTCGAGTTACCTCGTCTAGGTCTCATCTCTGTGGATGTCTTACGCAGCCAGGATATATGCATACTGATAGTAAGGCCAGATAAAACTCGTAAGGTTTTTCTCAGGAAATGTGTTTCTTTTAGCTTTAGTTAGTTTTTACCTCGCTTGCAACTGCATATGGTCTTATGAGCGCCATATTTTCTGTTAACAGTGAAACAACTGTAGAATTTCAAGAGTTGAATTGGTTTAGATGCCAGGATAAGAGCTTTTCCCAGCTTCTGTATTTCCAGGGAAATTTCTTTTGGAAAACTGAAATTCAGGGATATGAGAATGCTTGTTATTCCATATTTTGTTCTTAAAATGTACAAATAGTTTGAGTTAAAATATAGGAATTGCAAATGTAGTATGGTTCTTTTAGGTGATAGCCTAAGAGTTTCCTTCAGTTTCAAACAATGATCAAGACTTCCACATTTTTCCAGCGCATGGGTTTGTTGGGTTTGTGTTTTCCTTGGGAGAAAAAAAAAAGCTGGGGAGTGTACAGTTCGGTTAACTTCTCGTTTACGAAGAAAGAACAATAAGCTTATGTGAAATTTTTATTAATCTTAAATCTCACTGGAGTGCACATGTTTATCTGATGTAGGCACTTATGTTTTTCTGGGTGATCGTCGCCGTTTTCCTGGCAGAGTTAGATATTCACAGAATTGTGTTATCATTGTACAAAGTTCCACCAGATTCTTGTCATTTACTGTGTATATATTTACTTCATCCATATTGTGTTTTCTATTTTTTGTTTTTTTTGTTTTGGGGTTGTTTTTCACAGTCCTTTTATCCCCTCCACTGCTGTGTAAGTTAGTTTCTTTCACTTTTGTTCAGGGTGTAGTCTTTGTGCCCTTGGTCTTCTCTTTAAAGGTGCCACAGCAGGCTACGATTTTGTTACTGCAGGGACTCTTGTGTGCCTCAAGGTTACACTTCTTTTTTTACACATAGTGTGAAGTATGTATTTGAAAATTTAAAAATTTTATCTGTCTTTTGATGGTAAAATTGAAAATCATTATGTTTTTTAAAACAGATGTACAGTGGAAACGATATATAACAGGCCCGGTAATAATAGGGATTTTTAAAATCCCCGTTTTTTCCTATTCTTTGTCTCTATTAAAAGTTATCGGCAATAACAGGGCCTCGCCGGAGCCCAACCGGTTATAGCAGGGACAAAGGCTCGTTAACAATTGTGTAAAAAGAGGGGGGTAGGCTAACACAGTGATGGAGCAAGCCCATGCAAGTCATGCCACTGCAAGCACAGGCAGCGTGTGAAGGGAGAGAGAGGGCTGCGGTGTGCTGCAGACCTCGATCTAGCCTTGCCAGAAACCTAGCAACACGCTCGCGTAATGTGTCATGCGCAGGCCTGCCGCATGGCCAAATCGTGGTCGTTGCACAGAGTTTGTTTCGCAGTTCACAGCACACACGCATGCACCACACCACACTGTGACTGTTCACTAACAACAGTACATTTGTAGATCTAAGCTTAACGCACTTTGTGGACGACCGGTCGGCCTAGATCTAAGCCTACTTCTTTCATTATGGCCACCAACGATGTCAAGCGCAAGAGAAAATGCTTTTCAATTCACAAAAAATATGAAATAATCCAGGCTGTTGACAAAAAGCAAGCTCCACTGGCAGAGATTTGTGGTCAGTTCGACTTTCCACATGGGTCGATTCACACCATTATCAAGGATAGAGAGAAGATGTTGGCAGCATATTCCAATGGAAAGTTTGCTCTGGTTCGAAAGAAGATGAGACTACCCGATGCAAATGCTGTGGACCAAGCTCTTCTGATGTGGTTTAAGGAGGCAAAGAGAAAGTTGGTGCCAAAACCCGTTCGTGGGTACTTGTAGCCAGGGAAACTACCCATGAAGAAGTACAGCTGGATTAGTCCACAAATGGTTACTTTCCTTGCATTTCTGATTTAACAGGGATCGGATATAACAGGACTTTTTCTCTACTCCCACTATCCCTGTTATATCAGGTTTCCACTGTACTCTCAAAGCTTGTAGTTTAAATTTGAGTTCAGTTGATGGACTTTCATTTAAGGCTTGCTTTTCGGATGGGTGGTGTATAATTTTCCATGTATGTATAAGATGAAATGTTCAGCAGTGAAGGGGTTAAAATGATGCCTTTATAATAATCCTTGTTGAAAAGCAGATGTTTTGTGGATGAGATAAACTTGAGAACCAAGATGTACAATTGTGAGCATTTTTTTTTCCTGAGTAGATTGTGTTAGAAGTTGTTCTGTAAAGTGCGATTATTGTTTTGAAATACCAAATATAAATTTTTTTTGTCGCTGAAGGTTATTCGTAGCTTTGAGGAATAAGAGCATCGTTTATAGAGGGCTCCTTGTCAAAGACGGCAATAGCAAAGTGGGGGAAAAGGGCTCCTGTCTGAGCCTCAAATTGGCCCTGAGCGTCACCAAATCGTTTGTATTTTCCCCTAAATTCATTTTGCGCTATTTCTGCCGTTTGAATTATCTTTGTTTGGTTACATCCAAATTGTTTGTGGAAATATTTTGTTTGGCAGAACCAAGCTCCAGTACCATGGTTTTGACATGGTCACTTTGTTTTCAGATACCAAAAGTGCATATCAAGTCCCTACTGACTGTTTCTGCTTGTTGTAGGTACAAAGACAGAATTTTGTTAAAGTCCAGAAAATAGTTGTTTTCTTTTCTTGAAACTTTTCCCAAAATTGTAGTATGCTAGTTTGGCTCTTTCCTCATTGTTTTTTAGTGACTGAAGTTTTGTTCAAGCATTTGTTTGTTGTTTTTTTTTTTTCAATCATCATTTTCTCTCTTTTTTTTTTCTTACAGTACACTCTGATTAGCATGACGATGCAAGGGCACAAAAATTTTGTTTATGTTAAATATTATGGTATCGAGTTGAAAGGTAACATTGGAGATAATGTTTGAATAAAACAAGGGTGAGAAAAGGATGTGTTGTGAGTCTTGCAGGAATATCATGAGACTTGCTGTACGTCACTTATAATGGTAAAGATATGCCTATGGACAAGAAAAGGTTAGACGAAGACATGACGGGATAGGTTGAGAGGATGGAGAGAGAGGTGTCCATGTTCACTTATTGTGTTCCCTTCCCAAAATGTGTGTTCATTTTACTAATTGCAGTAAGGAACAACAACAGCATTAGAGTGGTTTACATTTTTTTTTTTTTTTAGTCTTTCACCAATTGGGTTGGTGTAAAGTCTGTGAAAATGTGTCTCCACAAAATGGATATT